CAAAACAACCCAATTGCTGGGTTTGTCCCTATTTTACCCAGCACTGGGTTGTATTTAACCCAGCATTTTTTAGAGTGGACTGTTAAGTGATAAATCCATCACAAATATTAAATAATAAAACAAACACTAACACTGCTTGACAGACTGTGCTCGAAAAGCCAAGACAAAAGGTGGTGTGGATTTTGTGGACAACTTTGTCAAAATGCAGACAGCATTTGAGAAATGACAACAGTTGAGAAAAAGTCAAGGAACATTAAAAAGGCATTAAATAAATAAAGCAGAAATTGTAGGCCATCCCCAAGGAGTGCTTGTTTTCTCAAAATGTGTATCAGAAATCGCCCATTGGAGACATTTAGTAATGAAATCTTTTAGTACTATAGGTAAACTGTACACAATACTTTCACTCCTGTAATTCCTGACAACTCTAAATGTATCACAAAATGATACAGCTTGTCAATGGCAGTAACCTTAAAAGGATTTCAATTAAAATGTTTGTACTTCATTTACCCGTAAAAGCTTGATTGTAGGTTCACGTTATTACTTGCTCTAAGGTACTAATAACTACCTGTTAGGGGTAGATAAAGTACAGAGGTGATTTGGGCTCATAACAGTTTGATGACTGAAAAATTATTTGAAAAATATGTTCTGACGTTCACAGTGAGCACACTTCATATAGGGTTTTCCTGTAATTTTGACCAGTTTGTATATGTGATTTTTAAGATTTAATTTAAAAATAGATTAAAAATTGTTAAATAACTGTAAGGGGCTTCTGTTGCTGTTATAATTGCTGCTCTAATAGATACTATCTTATATACAATCATTCCCACTGAGGCCTGGTCAGTTTGTGGCCTGCAGAATGTTTGCAGAGCTCTGCTAGTGCCTAGCTGCGACATACTACATCTGTCTCCTAGTGCACTATCTAGACAGTGATCCACTGTCTGCTGTAAACTTAACAGAGATAGTTTGACTTTGCTTGTCACTAGTGCCCATCCTGTCTGAAGGTTCAGCAAACAGGTTGGGGAGGTTTTTTTTTTTTTGTTAAATAATGATTTTATTGGTCTGCCCAAAATGTAAACAATAATATACAGTCTACATGTTACGAATGCGATTCGTATAAAAATCTAGCTGTCATTTTTGGGGCAGCAACCATAGAATATGCACAAATCTGCATGATGCATCTATCACTGTAAAAAATGACCGTGAATTTAACGGTAAAAGACTGTAAAAATGCTACAATGCAGGTGCCTAAACCTGAAATGATCATAAACACACCAACGTGCTTAAAAACGTCCCCAAACGGCAACATCTGACTGCAGAAGGATTGTGTGAAGAATGTGGAGGTCAGTGTTTGCATAGGATAATGTGCTGCAGGGATGAAGGCCTGTTGGGCCCGAGGGTGGAGTGGAGCTCATGGATCAGGTTTTCTTCTAAGCAGGTTTAGGCTGAAGTCAATGTTGGGACCAGAGATGCTTCTTTAAAATTGCCTTTATGATCACTGCTGGAACAGCCAAGGAACAATCTGCAGTGAACTTGCGTCAGAAGAATATGTAAGTAAAGGACGTATGTTTATAGCAGATATAAAACTAAAAGTAACTGCTGTTTAGTTCATTTGAAATGTGAACTTCTGAAGGTGGCGTATCACACTCGGTGTTAAACCATTATTATTCAGCATTTATTCTGTGCATAAACTTTTCATGGTTTATATTGAGAAGTTGAACACAAATGTACTGTACTGTTTATTGCATCAATGTATATATTGGTGTTTTTTCAGCACTGATTGTCCTAGATGTTCAAACTCCTTATAAGAAAACAGAAATATTTACTTTAAAAGAGTGCTTACACAGAAATCATTGTGTGTGTTTAATCATAACAGAAATTCATGTAATTAGATACAAGTAAGTTTTAGAGAAAATGTGAATTGCATCTTGCATTGTGTTATTTCACAGCAGTAATCTCCTTCTCATTTAAAATGCATTATATAACTTAATATCACATTTATGTTAATAGCATAATTTTGCTCGTGCTGTATACTGTTGTATTCCATTTTGTGAAATTTGTATTTTCAGTGGGTGTTTACCTAATATATTATTTTGTAGTCCAATTAAACAGGGTCTACATGTCAGTGCTATAAAGTTTTCACAGTTGTTTGTTCAATCTTATTTGCAATCTTTCTCCCTTTGCAGGCACATTTAAATTCCAACCATCTTCAATTCTAAAGTTCCAGCTTTGAACAAAATGCTGGTTATCACAGTCCTGCTGGCTGTCTTTGGCCTTGTCAGATGTCAGGAATTACCAAGTAAGAATCTAACTGACTGCAAAGTTCAGTATGTCAGTATATTTTACGTAAATGAAATGGACCTCAAATTTTAAGAGAAAGTACGATTCTGAAGGTAATCAGACAGCAAGG